CTAACGTTGTTGCAGCTGTTGTTGTATTGTTGCCATTTAACACTGTTGCAGCTGTAGTTATGTTATTGCTGTCTAACGTTGTTGCAGCTGTTGTTGTATTGTTGCCATTTAACACTGTTGCAGCTGTAGTTATGTTATTGCTGTCTAACGTTGTTGCAGCTGTCGTGTCGTTGCCATGCAACATTCCAGATGTTGTTGTGTTGTTGCCATGTAACGTTGTTGCAGCTGATGTGGTGTCATTGCCATTTAACGTTGTTGCAGCTGCCGTGCTGTTGTTGCCGTTTAACGTTGTTGCAGCTGTCGTGGTGTCGTTGCCATTTAATGTTGTTGCAGCTGTTGTGGTGTCGTTGCCATTTAATGTTGTTGCAGCTGTCGTGGTGTCGTTGCTATTTAACGTTGTTGCAGCTGTTGTCATATTGCCATTTAAGTCTGTCGTTGCATTTGTAGTTGAGTTAAAGTTTTGCGTTACATTGTAAAATGCAGTTGTTGTTGAATTGTGAATCTGTGGTGTTGTTGATTGTTCAGGCACATTTAAAGTTTGTGGAGATGTGGATGCAGCAGTTGTTGGTCCTGTGTTTGAGAACAAGCATTCGCTGAGCTTACTGCGGAAAACTTGGTCAAGCTGCGGGAAAATAATCAAATGATCTCATTTATTTAAAGGCTTAAGATGTGAAAGGTAGTGTGGTGTAATAGGATGGCCTTTAACGTTTTTGGTTGCGTACCCAGGCAGTGATTTCCGTTTCATTTCTCCTCGGTCCAGTGACATCAACAGTGACATCAAGGAAGTAAAACACTAGCATAAAAAGATAAATAACATAAAGGAGAAGAATGTCAAAATGTAAATCCTTGGGGAAACATGTTCCTCTCTGGACCCCAGTGGATACAATATTAAGGTGAGATGAATTTGTCTTGTGTTTACCTTCTGTCTGTTGAGTGGTTGTATTTGCTGAAATAATGAAATAAACAGTAGGAGATTGATTATCAGAAGCTTTAGCTGCAAATATGCAAACTTCAATACAAAACTAAAGTCTCAAATGTTGTATCTGCAAAGCTTAGCTGCTGAGTAATCTGTTGACTATCTAGTTAATAAAGGAAATTACTATTTCTAATTAGTGTATATTGATGAAATACTCAGTTCACTTTTTCAGTTGTGTTTGTTTCTCTTTTCTACAGCTAAAATCATTACATGAGCTCCTATGCTTCACCTGCAGATAGGAGCTCAAGCCGACAAATGTTTCACCCGTCGAATAATAAAAACCTGCTGTGGTTATCTTTTATTTTTTAATACTCTGTTATTTAGGATTTTTGTTCAACATACTTATTCTTTCACTTCTAGCATGCTTCTATGATCAGTGGCCACCTTTCATATTTTCTATTGCATATTTTATTCTACCATTGCCTATGGATAAATACGTGTAGAGAAATTATTAGAAACAGATTAGAAAGAAATAGTTTAAAATCTGTATTGTATAATCTATAATCCCTTTTTTCCCATACGTGTTGTTATTTTCAGTTCTATCCTATATCTTAGTTTACGCTGTAAAAGCCTTAATATTGTACTTACTTGAAGTTTGTGCAGCTGTTGTACCCGTGGTAATGGTGGAAGGAGTAGTGGAGTTTAGCTGACCAAAAGCTTGACCTGATTGAAGAAATAAAACAGCTAGAGTAAGGGGTTATACTGTATCTCTAAGTCTGGCTGAGGTTTTCAATAAGACTTCCAGGCCTCCCTAAACTAACCAGGTAAAAGATTTAAACCAAACCAAAGTGATCAATAAATGTTATAAAGTAGTCAGTTGGGGCTGGGACTTCTGGTCAAGAAAAGTCACACAACTCAGTCATTTGTCAATTGTTAGATTACAAGCTGTCCCCCGGAGGTGTTGATGTGTACTTTGAGTCAGACTGGAATTAAAGTAGCTAAACAGGTTACAGTCACAAAAAGCAAAGGAATTTAGCTTGTGTAAGTAGGCTGCACTGTGCAGAATGCGGACGTCATGCTTTATAAATGGGGGTTGATTATAGGTTCTGCTGCGTTGTTAGCAAATAACCTTTGTTGAAGTCGTTAGTCATACAGTGGATGATGTTAGACCTTACCTGCAAGGAGGACAATAAGTAGGTGTGTCTTCAGCCACATTGCATATGTAACACCAAAACCAGGTTTCTTCACTCTGTAAAATAATTCACACTCCTGAAATTTTCATTGTTGACAAAAGTTAAATAATTGTACAAAAATCTCTGAAACTTATGAGCTCCTTTGTATCACTTCTCACTACTATAACTTCTCACTACTATAAACAATGAATTGGATCAAATCTCTGACAGGCTTATCTTTCATTATCATCATTCGGTCTATGTTTGTCGCACAAACAATAACATATCAGATGCATGACTAAAGTTAAGGTTGAAAGTCTTATGTAACACAACAAACACAGGAATGGTGAATGTCCACTGGTGTGACAGATCAATGATCTGTATCACTGAATTCATCTCCTGATCATTTAACATTGTATACTTTAAAGATATCACCTGGAAATCAGGCTATTTCATGTTTAAACATATTTGTTGCTGTTAGGCCTCAATCAAAAACCTGTTGGACAATCTGGAGCATACAAACGGCTGTTTTTGCCCCCTTTCATGTGGGCTCTTGGTTCAAACCAGAAAAAAAAAGAACAATGGCAGGCTTTCCTTCTCACTGATATTTGTAATTTTTAAGAGGGCGCTAACATTAGCCAGCTTGGTTTCTTCTCATCTGTCTCTTTTCCACCATATTTCTAAGAAACAAGGACTAAACTGTAGGTATTCAGTAAGTTTTGCTACTTGTGTAACATTTTATCTGGAGAGACCAGGAGATGGTGGTGAATGAACCACAGCAAATTGCAAATGTTGCCAAAGTTGCATCCACATAAAAACACATAAACACAAGTCAGATTCTGTACACCCCTGCTAGAATAAAAGGGCATGAAAAGGGTTCTCTATAACCTCTTAAAATTGATTAATCATTGACCTAAATATGATTTCAGAAGGATTGTGAAAAATACCAGTTTATGACTTATTTAAATATATAAAAACACCTTACCTAACCCTAAAAATCTGTGTTATAACAGAAATGAACAGATTAAAAAATACATTTTATTGTGAGTATCAAAGTGAAAAATAAAATAATCTTATTGATTTCATGTAATGTTATGTAAATCCCTTTATTGTCACTAGGGTTGTCAAAAGCATCGATACTCAAAAAAGTATCGATACTGAAAAGTTGTATCCGGATACAATACTTATTTTCAAAAGTATCGATACACTGCTACCACCAGTGGCACCTAAACAGTCATTCATCTTATGCACAGATTAGAGGAAAATGCACTTTCTGAACACTGTGTGATTGAATAATTCTGTGCACTTTTCGGTTTCAGACTTTTTTTCTGTAACAGGTGCAGCTGCTGAGAATTATTTTTGTTTTTTAACTGGTTTGGCTAGTGTCATTGTTATGTGTGTAAAGCATAGCCAAGGCAGGAACACTTCATTATAATTTTGTACGTTTTTTTTATCAATCTTGCTTAATATTGTGCACAGCATACAACCTCAAAATATTGTTTATTGTATTTATTAATCTATTTATTGTATTTTGTTTATTAATGAAATAATTTCTGTTAAATTTTGGAGTTTTAGTTTTTATCGTTGTGGTATCGAAAATGACATCGAGTATCGAATATTTACTTAGTATCGGTATTGAGTTGAAAAGTTTAGTATCGTCACAACCCTAATTGTCACACAATGGGGAAATTTCCCTCTGCTTTTAACCCATCCCCTTGGGAAGCAGTGGGCTGCCATTATGAGGTTCCCTGGGAGCAGTGTGGGGTTAAGGGTCTTGCTCAGAGACCCTGAGTCGAGGCTGTCCGGATACTTGCAACCAGCCATAATCTACTTTACACAGAAAGATCTCATAATTATTGGGTGACTTTTAAACTTTATGCACTCCTTTAATCAAGGCCTTTTCTCATTAGATTTTTTATTATCTGTTAAAATTAATCTGCATCATTGCTCCTTCTCAATTTGCCATGTTTAGTTTTATTTAACTTACATAAAATCTTGAGAGGTTTTATGAGATTTTCAGTCTGACATCTGAATTTTTCGGAATGAAATCTGTTGGTTCTTTTACTATATTCTGCTTTTATTTTTCTTCTATTTTATTATCAAATTCATGTAAAGCACTATGAATTGTCCATGTACTGAATTGTGCTATACAAATAAAATTGCCTTGCCTGGCCTTGCCTTGCCTTGGTGTGTGGTGTGCTTACCGCTGTACACATGAACATGAACTGATTTCATCTGGTAATTTCAGATATCCGTGATTTAAGGTCAGTGTGGTTCCCTACGCCCTTCCTAGCAGGCAGATCAATCTTAACGCAGCAGGATTATCTTAATTGTCATCATATATATAATAAACGGGGCCATACACTCTACAGGTTTTCTAAGGGATTAAGATTGGTTTGTACCTACACTTGAATTGCTTCAATTGTCTTGACCAAATCCCTCCAACTACAAAATACCAAAACACAACATTTAGCTTCAATCCCTACATTTTACAGATGGTGAGGTTTTTCTGGACCTCCACCTGTTTTCTCCTGAATGAAAAAGAAGCAATTTTGATCCAACTATTCAATATAATTTCAATCAGACCTTCAAAAGTCAAAATTCATGGAATTTGTCACAATGTGCATTTGCAAACTAAAATCTGTCTATTTTATCTTGTTTGCTTTTCAGTAATGCCTTCTTCCTATCTGGCGATCATTTAGAGTAAAAGATTTCTATCTCTGAGGCACAGAAGTCTTCTCTATCCTCTAGGAAGGCTAAAAATACAGAGCATTAAAATATCCAAGAGCAACTGCTTTGATATCACAAACAGTCTTAAAAGCTTTATTAATACACTAAGTTTAATACATATTGGCTCTTCAGTACAGTATTTAGATTTGTGTCGGAACTACAGAAGGAAAACATTTCTGAAGCTGCCTGCATGCCAGTGATGAAAAGCAAACAGAGGTTATTGTGTTATACTGTGTTGAAGTTTCCATTGCAGTGTTAATATCCTGAAACCAGAAGTTTGTAAAGAAATCATGCAATATGATACGTCCATTTGGTGTCTAAGTTTAACTGCAAACAATCAAGGAGAAACTGCCTTCCTCTAAAAAGAATAAAAACTTATACTATGGAAACTGATTCCACAAATAAAAGGGTGAACAAAATATACTGGAATTAAGATGCAGATTATTCCTTTTCAGAAGATAGAATTATCCCAATAAACCTTTATTTAGACCCAGTGAACCATTTTAGATTGCAATTACTGATGGTTTGGAGAGAAATACAAAATAAAACGTTTGTTGATCTGGTATGATCACATGCATTTGTTAAAGTATACATTTGTTTTGTCATCAAGTAACAACAAAAGAAGACAATTTAGAAGATGATGTTAGAAAGTCAATTTATATGATTAGAAATACATAAAATGCGTAATTCAGACATACCTCTCAATAAATTTTTAGTTTGTTTTTTAAGATGAGCTGGTTCTATTCAAAAAAGGTCACCACACCACCACCAGAACTTTTACCTGACTGAAGGTGCCAATTTGTAAGAAACCGATGGAGCTCCCATAACTTCTTCATTTCCGTGGAGCATAACTTTCCACAGCAGAATCCAGAAGTTAAACCACAAACCTAACCACGAACATTTTCTTGGCTTAAACAAATCTGAATCCAGCTACCGGCAGTGTTTTCTTTACTGTGATTTTTCTCAGGCAGAATCCAGACACTCCCTCCAAACGTCAGCCCTTTCAAGTGGACGTCAGCTGCATTCGCCTGAGCTTCAACATGTGTCACTCAACAATGGAGCAAGTTTTAATGGGAGCTTTCTTTTTTTGTCTACCAGAGCGTACGCTTCCGATTGTTCTCTCTGTCAACCCAAAAAAGAAAACATATGCATTGTACACCAACAGGTTTCCAGAAAGGCTTTTGGGAAGGTAAGAGATCTGTGTTTCTATTTCTGTTTGGTATTTAAGGAGTGCCTCAGGGTGTGTCCTTAGCTGCTCAATGTTCTGTTTGATAGGCATAAAACAAAAAGAGTTTCCATGGCTACAGACACTACGGACCTCAAAGCAAGATATTTGATGCTGTAAGAATTTCGTGAGGCACCACTGTGTCTGCGTCGGTCATGTTATTAAGAGGTAAAAAAAACACTGTTGGAAATTATCACCTGTATGGATTGTTGTGACTTAAAGAGCAGTATTTAGACTGGCTTACAGGTTAACAAACAAGCGCATCACAGAGAGGCTTTGGGAGTTTGGGTGAGGGTAAAGGGTGTGTTACAGGGGAGGTTAAAATGTTGATGCTTAATTTGGGGCATCTATCCATCCATTTTTTGTCATTTTTATCCCTTCTGGTGCTGGTGCCTATCTCCATCTGTCAACAGGCAAGAGGCGGGGTACACCCTGGACAGGTCACCAGTCTATCGCAGAGCAACACAGAGACACACAACCATTCACACCTAAGGAGAATTTAGAGAAGCCATTTAACCTAACAGTCATGTTTTTGGACTGTGGGAGGAAGCCGGAGTACCCGGAGAGAACCCACACTCTTCAGTATGTGTCACTCAACAATGGAGCAAGTATTAATAGAAGCTTTCTTATTTGTGTACCCGAGTGTACCCTGCTGATTGTTCTCTCTCTCAGCCTAAAAGGGAGAACTTACAAACCCCCAGGCTGTGAATTGAACCTGGAACCTTCTTGCTTCAACGCAGCAATGCTACCCACTGCTTCACTGTGCAGCCCAATTTGGGGGGACATAAAAAGTAAATGAAACAAATGTTCTATTTCAAGATACCCGATGAGTTAGACTGATTTAAAATGGAAAAGCTTAGCAGTGAAGTCATGTATTCACTGAATCATCAGCTGTGGAGGTCAGGTGATCATATTAAAAAGGAGTTCCTGACAAACTTACTCTCCTTATTCTCCCATTGGCTGGTCTTAGAGATAGGGTGGCAAGGTTAATAATTGGAGGCAAGCTCAGAGGTGATGCCTAACAACCCACCCTGACAGAACAAGAGGAACAAATGTCACTCCTGTCCTTCGATAAGATGCAGTGTCGCAGGGCAGAGGCGTATTTGGGTCCTCCTGTTAAACCTGCTACACTCATGATGATCCCTGATCAGTGTAAGTGGCAGATTATAAATGGACTGATGGACACAACACCACAAACACGTCTAGGTGGAACAAGATCTGAAATGATTAATGATTAAGGAAAACACTTAAACATGTCCTTTTAATTATAACCATGATCGTTGAGACATTTGTATTCTATATATTAAACTTGATGCATATTGAGCTTCATAAATCAATTCAGATGAACTGTGCTGTTTCCTCCTGCATTACCCCTTTTCTCCACCAGAGGTCCCAAAGTTCCTTTTAAGAAACTTACCTGCTCATAATTTCCTTCAACTTCTTGTGGTTTTTAGTCTGTGCTTTGGCATTCAACATAGCCCTGATATTTTTTTTTATTTTCTTTGAAGTCCTAATTCTCAGGCCACTGGTTTATTTTAATCCTGACTTTTATTTGTAGGACAACCTGTCAGCATGCAGTAATACCTTTAAGCTGATGTTTTGTGCCGCTCTTCAAAGCCCCATCTGTCTCCCTGTTTTTATGGGTATTTTAGATCTTTTATTTTATTTCTAAACAGCCCGACCTTATAGGTATGAATAGTTTAATGCAAATTCAGAATATACGGCTTTGTAAATTTGGCCAGAGGGATAATATTGGTGGTAGAGTGGATGTGATTCCCTGACGCAATTTAGGAATAGATATTTAGTTTTCAGTAATACAGAAGCTCTTTACAGGTCTATCAATTCTACTTGCAGTCCAAAACTATGAGTATTAGGTTAATTGATCACTCTTAAAGTCCCCTTAGGGTACAAGGCTGTGGGTGCATGGTACTTTGTCTCTTTGTTACCCTAATGGACCAGGTTTCAAAAGTCAGGATATAATTTTAAGAGCGTAACTAGGAAAAAAAGAAATTAACATGATTGGGCAGAAATAAGTTTGACACTCATATATGTAAGAGATTTATTTGTAAAGATGTTGAGTAGGATAAGGGTATATTTTCCTTTTTGTATAGGTTCCCATTTTTCTGATTTTATACAAGATGTAGGCTTGCAAAGAGCAAACTATGCAAAAGTCATCATAAGTTCATCCTTTTTTGGAGCAATGCGGCCCTGACACATGTAGGCAACCACCTTCTTCCTAATCAGAATCAGAAATACTTTAATAATCCCAGAGGGAAATTGCTTTAAATGATTTGATTTAAATGATATGCCTGAAATCCCAAGAAAAGACACATAAATACCAAAAAGATCATATTGCGTCATGCCAAATAAAGCACTACAATGAATAAAAAAATAGGGTTGAATAATGTTGGTTAAGTATTTTTTTTCCCTCTTTTGACAATAATTGGCAAATTATACTTGAAGACAAAGCCAGCAGCAGATCCTGGGAGAATATATTTAAAACAGCCTTAAAGTAAACAAATCTCCTTTTTCTTTTTTTTTTTTACAATAATATGCACAATCCTTACAAGAAATCTTTGAAAATAAATATCCAGAACCATGTGTATCTGTGATTTAAGTTTACAAAAGTGCTAATTAGGCTGTTTCTAGAGCTGACAAATCCATAAAAATTATTTATCTTTGCTTCTATTAATATGACATCACAGTGAGATCAGCGGCTACCCGCCTGGGGAAGGACCAATGTTTATCTTGCCAAATAATCAACAGGACAGATGCATGTACAAAAACTTTTTTCTTAACATCAGATTTCATTCCCTCTGAGTGATTGTACTAAAAGTAAACCTCTTTCTTTTTTTTTAAGGATTTTTTTTTTATTATTTCTGTATAATTTTACTAAAGATGCCATTATATGATGTTTGCTCTTTATTTGCAGCAACAGCTGATCTCAACATCTTGAATGCAAAAAGACATTAATTTTCAACAGCAAACGTTCCAACAAACAGTAATAGTGTAGGATTAACCAGCATGTAGTCTTATTGGAAAGATCTGACTTTTTTAAAAGTCTTTTTAACAAAAACTATGCATACAAACTCCAGTAAATGATGTTGAACAGTAGATAGGCCATAGGAAAGACGACTCTGGAGCACGAGTCGATCATGTAGCTGTTGCTCCTGATGAAGCTCAGGTTGTATTTAAGTGTATTCCTGCGACGGAGACGGGTTCCCTCTGTGGGTGCAGAAGCGGTGGAGTTTCGAGACTGGGTGTTTCTCTCTGTGTTGGGGGTGATGGCGACCTCTGGGAAAGAAGCCAGGTCAATGTCGTTATCATGGAAACACCCGTCGAAGGCCATGGCCTGGGCGGCATCGAAGGTCGTGGGGATCTACAGGCACAGAAGAACAGAGCAGAAAAATGTATAAAACAACAACCCCTAAACAAGCAGAAAAATATTAAGAATAAACTAAGAGGGAACCCATAAACCTTTGCATTCTTCAGCTTCTTCATCTCCTCCACCGTGGTGAAATAGTTGACAGCAGCGTACTCGATGACGGACAAAAACACAAACAGGAAGCTTGCCCACAAGTAGATGTCTACGGCTTTGACGTAAGACACTTGTGGCATAGAGGCGGATACACCAGTGATGATGGTGGACATGGTCAGAACGGTCGTGATGCCTGCACAAAAACACACGCACAATGAACACACAGTTTTGGACAGACACATCTATCTAAAAAAAGACAGAAAATATCCATTGCTTACTCATACATTCGCAGAAATGTTAGAATTGGTTGCAAAATCCTTGTTGAAAACATATTGTTTCATCCCATCCCTACTAAGCAACATTACTAACTATTGTTCAAAGAGATCCCCTCACCACCACACTTAGGTGGAAGGATTCTTAGTTTCATTTAGTGTGCACCAAATGTTGACTCTAACAGCTGAGCCCTGCAGATGAAATCATAATTTCTTTATCCCACATCATTTTTTACTTTTTTTCAATTTTTCATCCAATTTGTGAACAGTAGCCTAAGTTCTATTTTCTGGGATGGCAGGAGTGGTACACAGGCTGTCCGTCAGCCACCAGCTATAAGGTTCATCTGATGTTATCTTGAACTAGTAGGTATTAGAGCTAATGTCCTCTGTACTCCGCAGTCCTCTGACCTCTGATAATGAGGCAGTTTTATTCCCTTCTTATTTTGATGTTCTTAAATGCTTTATAAATAGATGAAATACATTTCCTAAATGCACTTGATTGCTTCAATCTGACTGGAATTCAGGTTGGTGGATTTTACAACAATGACTACTTTTCTTTTTCTTTCATTCATTTCATTTTGTTTTTCATTTATATACTTATTTCAGACTTACATGAAATAAAGGAAAAGGCTGGTGACAAAGCTCACATTCATATCCTTAACCTTGTACCTCCTTGGAAACTGAAAAGGGGATAAAAAAAGCCCTGCTTATCTAACTTCAAGACCCTTAGGCAATACAAATGAACGTTATGTTGTTAAACATGTCGTTATTTTCAGTTTTATATCTCCCCCTCTGAGTGATATTTGACGTTGGAACAGAATTTTCCTTTGTTCTTTTTGCATTTGCTGTTAATTTTCTCATTACCCAGTGAGACACGGGCAGGTACGGCTCTTCTGTCAATCCAGAAAGACACCCATGACAGCATCACCATCAGCATGGTAGGAAAGTAAGTCTGAAGCATGAAGAAGAAGATGTGCCTCCTTAGGATGAAGTTTATGTAGAGTCGATTGTACCAACCTGAAATAAGGCAGAAATGTAGTAAAAGTAACTGTAAGGAAAAAGAAAACATGATTAACATAAATCTGGAAAACAAAATATTTAAATGATCTTTGAGGTTAAATGGTTCATTTTCTACTTTAGAGACTCGGCTATGAATTTTCTCTTTTGATCTAGCTTGTAGATGTGTTGGTTTGTTTTATCAGCAGCATACCGTAGTTTTCTGCTAGATGTCATTCTGAACTTTTCCCTCACTTTGCTATTTTCTTCTGTTGTTCTCCAATCAAGCAGTTATTTTCTGCTTTAAACTTCTTAATATAGCGCTTACACCTGAACCAATATTTCCGTATTCTGCCATGATTATTTGTATAGAGTGCGATACCGTCAGAGGTGTCAAAAATATTAGTATTTATTCCTCAAGTAAAAGTATAAATCCTACAGTTTAAAAATATTTTTGTAGAGTATCAACTTAAGTTTTTTACTCATGTAAAAATGTAAAAGTACCATTTTTAAAATTACTTAAAGTATGAACATAAAAGTAGTGCAGGAAAACATGTTCTGACAGATGCATTAAACTTTATACTGGTTACTAAACTACCCAATTAAAGGAACTTTTCTGGATAACTTCCTTATACTTAATTTTCTTAATTTTATAACTAATGGTAACAGTGTCAAATTTAACTTTGCTTTACTTAAAAAAAAACTATTTATTTCACCACTAAGTCCAACCATAATGGAATTATCTGGGTGAAACAAATGATTTAGAGTTTTTTGTTTAGCTGTTTTTATATCAAAAGGCGATAATGAAAATGAGCTTAAATGAAACAAAGATAACGGGCCTAATTTTAAACTGTAAGGAGTAGAAAGTAGAGATAATTGCATTAAATGTAAGGAATATAAGGAAAAAGTTGTCCAAAAAATAATCACTCCAGTAAATTTTATTTTAAATTTTATTTTATTCTAAAATGTGTTTTAATTGAAACATTTATCTTATTCTATTTTTATGTGTTTGTGTATTTTAGCCTTAGCTTTTATCTCATGTTCCTTAACTGTGATTCCTGTACAGCACTTTGGTCAACCCCGGTTGTTTTAAATGTGCTTTATAAATAAAGTTTGAGTTGAGATCAGTTGAGTTAAAGTATAGATAGCCAAAATTTATACTTAAGTAAGGTAATGACGTATTGGTACTTTGTTACTTGACACCTCTGGATACTGTAAAGCTATGAAAAGCTTTTAATTGTCACTATCTACCAATGATATGTTTGTTTTGGTGTTTCTTGCGTGACAAAAGCTAAGCAGCAGGCTTTATCTCCACCAATTGTATGCATTCTGCTTTTAAGCCAGTAGATTGTAATTTAACTGTATTTCTTTCCTAGATGAACTCTGTATAATAGCAATGGTTAGAACTTCTTTACTTTTCTAAATTTATCTCAAACATAGAAAGAATCATGAATATGTGTTTCCACATTTCAGGGCAAATTATCTTTCTTCTCAATAGGCCATACAATCACAGCAGAAAGCTGCTCATACCATGCCAATCTCTGCTGAAGTTTCTGCTTAGCATTTAAAAGGAGTGTACCTTTCCATTATTACAGCACACATGCTCAAAATATGGCAAAGTTAACATCTTTAATTAATCACCAGTTGACTGTGGTTCTATGCTTGTTCAGGTGGAACCAGCATAAAAGATAGAAACTGAACCTGTAAGCATTTATATGTAGGATTTTTGCTAATTTCTTGATAATTAATATACTAACATTGTTACAAATTTGTTGTGATTTCGCACTAAATAAAAAAAACTAATTTAAAAGAAATCAGCAATAGATATTTACCTGAATATTCTTTCAGCAAAAGTCTGATAAATAAACCTTTCATTCTCTAAACATGCCAGCAACTGATCTCCCTTTTCCGCTGTTCAGAAATTATTGATTCAAAATAATAATCTGAGCTCTGCTTGCCATCCGCTTTTGTTTTTTGCGTAACATAACACAACGTTGAAACTCAAACTACTATTTTAAAAAGATTTATCAAAGAAAATATAATGCAATTACAGCATTTTTACTTGCTTTATTAGAAAAGAGGGCAGGTCAAGAGCTCTCTGGTTGTCTCTGAAGTGGACACAGCACAGAGAGCCCCAGCCTCACATACCAGTGCTGCTGTAGAAGGCAAGCCCAAAGGAAGGCTGGAAGTCTTCAATAAAAAACTGAGAGAGCACAATCTCATCAGTCCTTAATGAATCGTTCCCGTTCTTCCAGTAGAGCATTAGGTCGTTCTCATTGTAAGCATCTTAAAGAGAGGAAAGAAGGAACAGTGGTAGTTTTGCTTCTCTTACAAGAATCATGGATGTGTTCTCAGAGGAAGGACAGTTTTTTTTTTATTTTCTTTTCCAGTCCAGTGTCTGTCTTTCCTCTAAGATCAAGCTCCATGTTATAAATATATAACAAAGTAAGAGAAACAGAACTGAAAACACAAAACAACACCCAGAAAAGTTCAAATAAACAATCCTTGATTGCTAAAACTGAAATATGGCATTACAGTTTTTTTTTTTCAAGAAATAAGTGTATTTCCATTGATTTGAGCACACACATAAGACACTTTGCCAATAGAATAAGATGATATATGCATAAAGTCTAATTCTCTTATTTTAAGGGCAAAAATACGAAGTTCATTGACAGATCATTTTGTTAACCTGTTCAACTTAAGGGGAAGTCTATACTTATTTTAAGAATTTTTGTACTTATTTTCAATTATTCTTTTGCATTGTAAAAGACAATACAGTCAAAAAAGGTCTATTAAACCCTAGATCTAAAAGACAATCATCTACAGTGCCTCTCAAAATTATTCATACTCACTGAGTTTTTCAACCTTTTATCAGTTTACAAGCAAGACGGATTTCATGAAATTTACATCATAAGCCAATACAAAATATTACATATTGGTGAAGTGGTATATTATATCCAAAAGTTTTTAAGCTGTTATGAAGCCTAGGTGGAAGTTCAACTGAGGAAACTAATTGCGCTCCGACATCCACCTGCGACACACAATCAGCTTTGAACCACACCTCCACGAAAGCCAATCAGCATCCAAAGTTCATATTAAAAGGCCTTCGATCCGCAACTTTTCCTGCTCCTAGTGCGCAGGTGGTGTATGCGCTGTCTGACTTCATTCAGATGACCCCGCTTCAACCTGTCCGGCAGAAGGCCGCCATGTTGAGCCTGGTTCTGCCAGAGGTTTCTTCCTAACAGGGAGTTTTTCCTCTCCACTGTCACTTCATGCTTGCTCATCATGGTCAGGTTCTCTCAACCTGTGTTATCCAAACTGGACTTCCATCTTCCAGGTCCCTGAGTGTAGCTCTAGTGTCAGCTCACGCAGTCCACTGGATCTCCCCATAAAGCTCAGCAGACCGTCTCTCTAACCAGCAGTCTACAGACTGACCAACTTCATATGTCTCCACTCTACCACCAGTTTCAGGCCTGGGGGGGAAACAGCTCTATTCTTTGCTCCTGTTCATGCATATCTATCAAAATTAAGCGCTATGTTTCCTGCCGAGGTCTGAGCGCCAAAGACAAAGTAATGGTATCAATAAATTTCATCTAATTTTCTCTTCATGGTAGTTTTTCAGATTGAAATGTCATTAACAGCTTTATACATCTGTTGGCTGAAATGCTTTCCCTGAGCTTTGGCTCAGTCCGTCGCATGCATATGAATGGCTCCTTTTATTTTTCTAATTCTGACCAGCTTTCCATGTCCTATTATCTAACATAAGTTTCCCTAATGCTGCTAGGTTGTTATGTTACCATAGAGATGTTGTGGTCTCTGCAGGGGAATCTCAGTTTTCCAGCAACCATAACATTTTGCATGTCAGAAAAAAAGCTTAGCTTCAGATCAAAGCTTTGCATATTGATTTATGTTCTAACCCAGTTTTAAACTTCTCAGTGTTTAGTCTTCGTGGTGCTATTTGTCCACTATTGTTTTACTGTTGGATTGAGGGGTTTCAGAGTAAAGGAGGTTGATGTGATGGAATATCTTTAAAAAAAAAAACTATTATTCCATTCATGCTTTGGGTTCCACTTCAAAGTTATGCAATATCTTTGTTGGTCTTTAAGATAAAGTCAATAAATTAAAGAGAAAGTTGGATGTAACTTAACAGAATATGAAGAGTTTGGGTAGGGATCTGCATACACAGAAACTATACAAACTGATTCAGGTTAAAGACTTTTTTTTTTTAGATAACAGTAATATTTAAATTTTTGTTAGTTACTGATAGTGGTTTGCTGTCAAATACATTGAATTAACAGGAAATTCTCTTGTATACATCTTTAAATAGAAACCTACGGGCTGTAGAATGATTTTTTTTTTTATCAACAAAATAAGTCTACATTAGTTTGGTTAATAATGGAACTATGTTTGTCACTGAACAGCATCAGATCTCAGAGGAGTTGATTTGGAGGAACTGTTTCCTAGACCTCTGTTTGATACTCACAGCTCTCCAGCTCCAGAGAGCAGTTCTGTGTGTCCAGAGGGAAACTACTGAAGTCCATCGAGCACAGAGCAGTCACAGTGATCCTAAAACACAACTTAAAGTTATATGAACACCCATGTCATTCAAATCATTCAGTCTTTAGCAGAATGCTCATCCAGAAGCAAACAATTAAACTGTGTGTGGTATTAATCGGGGCTGTTCAATGACACAGATTGGGACTGCAGAGAGAGGAAGCAAGATTGTTGACATCTGCAGATAACGCTGATCTTACAAATCCTGTTACAGCTAATTTTCCACCTTCTTTTACTCTCTGCTCACTACTTCTAGCTTTTTTTATACTACATGCTGATATCTTTCCTAAAATGGAGTGGTACTACATCTTTCTGACAATAGCTGCTTATCTCTAGTACCCAATTATCTGAGACATTCTTGTTAGCATGTCTCAGTAAGTATTATAAGAGGAATTCCTGTTTTGATGATAATATTTTTTGCAAAGCCAAACAGCGCTTTAGCCATCTTTAGTAGCCATGTACAGATAAAACCTTTTGAGGTTTCTCTGCGTATACATATAGTGAGAAAAATTAACTCTCCATTTTCCTAAAGAAAATTTGGCACTTTGAGAAATATAAGAAGGCTAATCTTTTCCCCAACCCAATATCTGTCCCCCAATCGCAACATAAAATACGAATATCATTAGTTTATCAAACAATTGAAGTGTATGAAATAAAAACCCTCCCACACCTTTTGGCCAGACTGTTCTTCACTTGCTCTTGCTCCAACAACTTTTAATTTCAGACTAAGAGGATTTGGTCAAACATAAAAAGGTGTTTTCAAATGATTTCATGGGGAAAAAGGAGTATAAGAAATGTTATCTTATATGAAAATTCCCTTTCTTATGATTAAATCCAATCAACTACAGTACATATGTCTCTGCTTTCATTGGTCACACCAGGTCTGAATATATTACCTGGTCTGTAGAATAAACAGATGACTTAAGTAGAACCTGTTGGACAACAGGAAGTAGACTAGAAGATATAAAAAATATATACATCTTACTGCAGTTTTTTCAAGAATTAAAGTTTACTTAAGATTTTGGGACTCCAGTGAATGGCAATCAGATCCATTATCCACAAATGAAAAAAACCCATTAAACAG